GTTCGAAGTGTTTAAGTTCCAAGCTTCCAGTGGAAACATAGTAAGAAAATAGTTTTAGTTTTCTTTAGTTCTAGGCATAATGAGGCAGTAAAGAATTTTTTTTCTTTGAAATAGCAGAACACAAATTAATATTTACCTGTAAGAAAATTAGAGCAGTTTTACAACCAGAACTAAAATAATTTCACATATGGCTAATCACAGTGCACTCCAACAGCATGAGGAGGCAATTGACACAAACCCTCTGCCATGGTGATGTGCATGGGAAAAGTCACACAATGGCTGAGAAACATGTTTTTGTTGGTAGACATGTGTTGTATAAATATTCTGAACACCGTCAGTAGAAAATAGTTTTAAATTTGTGGCCTTTTGCACTTACACAAATTTATTCATTATTGTTTTTTTTTGGCAACTTTCAGGGAACTATTAAACTTTTAAGATTTAAAGATAATGGAGACTGAACCTGTGGCTGTGCTGTCATTAGGATAATAAGAACTTTTACTCTTAGCTTAAATAAATGGGGAAAGATGAACACTAGGGTTTCCAAAGTGCTCTGCAAACATTGCTTCCCTTAATTAGGGCAATGGCAGTGCATCTGTTAGATTTGCAGTTGTTCCCTATTCATAGAGATGTAGTAGCATTGTTTAGTTTAGAACACATATCTTCAGTACTTGATCAATAGATGTCTATACAAACATAGGAAGGGAAGAGTATGTGTGGCTAACAGATAGTGAAGCCAGTTAATCAAGTTGTAGCAAGGGACGCTTTAATTTAAAGACCATTAAAATGTAACAATAGTAGAGTTGTTCTCTGTGGTTTTTTTTTTGAACTGGTGTACCACATGCTAAATGCTGTTACTGGTATTTAAATGCAGCTTTCTGGAGTTGATATTAATTCTTTTTTACAATAACTGTCTAATTTCTCACGTGCTGATTGGCTCATTTTTATCATCAATAAGAGTACAGACGGATAAAATTTTAACTTATGCAAGCTGTCAAACTGTCAACTTTTTAACCAATGAGATTTTATGGTCTTTTTTAAGGAGCTAATCAAAAAGCGAGGAAAGCTATTGACAACGTTCGCATCACTTTGAATAAAATTCACTTATCTTTGTTTACGGCAAGTTTACGGCATTTTTTCCCCTCTTTTATCCCTGGCATTTGACCATTTTGGGGTCTTGTTGCTGTAAAAAAACAAATTGACGTCAGTTTTTTATGCGTCTGTCCTCTTATTGATGATAAATTTCATCATAGCATTGTCAAAGTTTACTGAAGAACCACTCGCCTGCAGCTCGTGGTTCCACGGCCACTTTGACAATGTTATGACGCAATTTATCATCAATAAGAGGACAGACGCATAAAAAGCTGACGTCAATTTGTTAAATTGAATAAAGGCATTGTGATATAAAAGTATGAGAATTTTTGGAATTTAGTTGAATAATTCTTGCAATATTGACTCTGCATTATCTATGAATCGTTTGGGTGCCATAATCCTCATATTTCATCAGTATAATTGTTTATCAAGTGATAGTATCTAAAGTTTGCAATTTCTAAACAGCACAGAACTTCAATTTTCACAAAGTTTTTACTGTGTATGTGTGAAATGCACTTACAAACTATATTGTGACATGTTGCCCATGTTTCAAGTAGGAGGTATAACTACAAAAAGGGTTCATTTGCCTTGTTCTGTGGAGGCATGATTTTTTGGTGTATATCCGGATTTATGTGCAGGAGTGTTCTTGCACAAACAAATCCGTATGCCTTTGAGCGAGAGAAAACAAATATTACTTTTCAGAAACCTTATCATCTCTGTCTCTGTTTTCCCATCAGAGCAAACAATTTTTTATTTACTCCCATTAAGGCTAGCTTCCTACACAGATAGAAGGCTAATTTAAGATGGCTCAAAAAACAGTACCCAGCACTTTCCAAGACTTAGATTTTGATTGGTCGTTGTAACCACTCTATATCAATTTAATTTATTGATGCTGCAATCATGGTAGCCCAATCATTGGTGAACACGTTCTTATAATTTTCATGACACGATAGGTTACCACAGCAACAGTATGACCTGCTAAAAACACCCTTAATTATAGCTTCAGGGGCTAATAATTCAAAAACACGGTGAAATTTTTTTTATGTTATCAAATTTTGATTAGCAGGGAAAGATGCAGTTTTTGGGCAAGTGGGTGTAATTTTTCTGCTTTGTGCTGAAAAGGTTGGGTGCTAGCTGATTGAGACTCGATCAATCGATCATCGATTGACCAATACCAATGGACTTATTTTATTAATAGACCATTTTCAATCTATCAAGCTGAATTGGAATATATTGAAAGTAGCCTTTTACGATAACTGGAGGAATTCTTGCACACTCATTGGCTAATTTTCGTTGTCAATTTAACAAATTGACATCAGTTTTTGATGCGTCTGACCTCTTGATAAAAAAGTGCATCATAACATCGTCAAAAAAGCTGTGGAACCACGAGTCGTAGGCAAGTGGTTCCGCAGTAAAAATGATGCAAACATTGTCAATAGCTTTTCTTGCTTTTTGAAAGTCCCTAAAATCTCATTGGTTAAAAAGTTGACAGTTTGACAGCTGGAAATTGAACTTGAAAGCTTGCATAAATTAAAATTTTATCTGTCTGTACTCTTACTGATGATAAAAATGAGCCAATCAGGGCACGAGAAATTAGACAGTTATTGTTGAAAAGAGGACAGACCATGAATTCATAATTTATGCAATGTGTCAAAGAGTGCGAGTGGACAATTTGACAATTTGTTATCGAAAAAACAAATTGAAGTCAGTTTTTCGTGCGTCTGTCTTGTTATTGATAATGAATTTCATTATAACATTATCAAAGTAGTCTGCTAATCCTGGCTGAGCTATCACCTCGTGGATCCACAGCTACTTTGACAATGTTATGACGAAATTCATGATCAATAATGGGACAGACGCATGAAAAACTGATAGATTGCTTTCCTGATCATAGTTTTCCATCGATTGGACACCCCACCCCGGGTCTCTCAGTAGCAGGAGGTTTTGCACCCCAATCCAGTTCATCCCGTCCAAGTTGCAAAAAAAACATAGACTTTTGACACTTTCTCTTCATTCTCACTCTTCATGAATGCGGTGGCCGCTCACTCTCGGTGCGATGGGTGCTAACCCAGGGGATACTCCCAGAAGAATTTGGTGGGGGTGTGCAGCCCGCTTCCCAAAACCCTTACCCTATTTGTGACCAAAATCTGCGATTTTTCCTACCCTATTTATGACCAGACCAAAAATTTGATACCCTGTTTATGACCGTTGCATCTGACAACCCAGTTGCCCTAAACAATTTTTGAAGGGCTTTTGTTTATGGTCTTGTCGACAATGATGAAAAAGTAGCTTCCACTACAAAACAGACCCAATGCAAGACTAGAGTACAAAACCATACCCTATTTAAGACCACAATGGCCAAATCGATACCCTGTTTATGACCAAAACGGCTGAAAAAACCATCCTATTTTGCCCATATTAGGGAGTATCTCTCACCCGGCCTCTCAGTCGGGGGCTACTAGTGGTGTGCGTGGCCTTGTTTGAGACCTGGGACTGCTACCATATAAGGGTAAACATGGCTGACGACCTTATACTGTAGATTCACATGTACTTTGCACGGAGGAAGCTGGCGAATTACAGGCTATTATTGGGTTCAATCTTCGTAGGTGGAAGCGAGAAAGAGATAGAGATCAGAACTTGGGAATATGAGGTAACAAAACAATAACGTCCACCATCGGCTTCGATTTTCTGCTATGATTTGGTTTTTCTACTGTTGCAAATTGAAGCGATGGGCTCCTGATCGTACTTTTTAATTGTAAGTCTCGACGAATTTAATTTCAGCTTACCGACTTTTCATATTGCGAGCTCTGGATGCTTGTGTATAATTACGACAGTGTGGAGTGTTTTTGTTTTGTCTTGCAAGTGACTGGATAGAGTCTGGGTTTCATGTCTATCAAGTACAGAGCACAACCCAAAACAGACGAAAGTTTCGTCAGGTAGCTAGGGAAACTTGCGGAGAGTCTATGGAGCCACCAAATGACAATTTAATAATGTTTGGAGAGATCTCTGAATTGAAAGGTAAGAATTCCTCTTCTGACCATTGTTTAGATATTCTGAATCTCTTAGTACCTGGGGATGGACCATTATTTTTTGAGGGGAGGAGTGGGGAAGGGGGGTGGGGTGGGGAAAATATTACCAAAAATGAATTCCTGCACAGCAAAAACTGCTGAAAAAAATTTATGTAAGGGGAGCAATGGGAAAAGAATTAAGCAAGTGTTTTCTACTCTCTAGGTCCTGTGTTTGAATTTTTTTTAAAAAATTCTTGCACAAGCTATTGCCAACCAAAAAAAGTCATGCACAACCTGAAGGTGAGAACCAGCCCCCACTCCCTCAGAAAAAAAAAAAAACTTTTGGTCCCTTATGGCTGCAGGTTTTCACTGTCATGCCATCAAGAATTAAAAAAAAACCATTCAATAAATTAAGTCAGGAATGATAGATAATTGATATATAAACAACCTCTCCAAGATTTAGGTCTGTGCGGTTTTTCATTTGCACATTATTCAGAAAAGTGTTTCACCCAAATTTATAGAGTTTTGTTTGGAGAGACCATGCTGGTCACCCTCGTAGGGGCACCAACAAGGTGACTGTAAAGTAACAGTGAGAATTATCTGCCATGGAGTTTTGGTATTGAAATGGAAGGTTATTATTCTTGAGCTTTGACACATTGAAATTAATATTTCTTCTAGTGCAAGAACTGTTCAGTTAGCAAAAACTTGAGCTATAACTCATCTTTTGACCTGCACAAGAGCCTTCACAAGCTGCCATCTTAATGTCATGCAGTGCATAAACTTGGAAATTCAAACATGCTCCACAACAAAATGAAGAACCCTCTCAAGCTCAAATGTTGCAAAATGTCAAGTTATTAGAGGGTCTTTATGTCTTATGTACCATACTTCATCCCATTTTAGATCCAGTTGTATGTGTAATTTGTGCTAAACAGGCCAAGATTGATGCTGTTGATTCAGCTAACAAGGAGTTCTTCCATTGGATCAACTTTCTTTTTGTCAAAGGTGACTACCAAGTAAGAACTGTGAGCCATTTAATTTATAGCAAAACTGTTTTGTTTTGTATTTTTATTCTATATATAAGGTTAGCAAAAATAATACAAATTACAAGTTGTACTGACAGAAATGTCGAAACAGTTATGAATGTACTAAAAATTTAGTACCCAGATTGGTCGGAATTATTTTGAAAAATTTATGCAGACTTCCAATAATGTTTGGAATTCTACAGTGATTTAGAGGGTGTCATAAGTCTTAGACAAACTGCGTGGTCTCCTGAAACTGTTCTCAACTGAGTGGTTTCTAAAATAAATTAAATGTGGGAAGTCCCATAAACATTATAGGTACTTAACCAAAATGCATRGCACTATAAAATAATYAATTTCTTCYACTAAARYATTCAAGTTATATCRTTAATCAAGTTGGAAGCAGAGATTCCAACCCTCCCAATTTGATCGGGAGACCCCTGATTTGATGTGTTGCCTCCTGCTCTRSCGATRCATTAWCWYCARTRTKKCGATTMARRWTAAAYRTMTYAAAACAAYGGWAAAAATGCTAATATTTTTTTGTGWWGTATTACACTTTCTTCTCATATTGTCTCACCCAGTCTCTCACTGCATGTTGTGCAGACTCATCAGGCCAGCAGTCTTAATCCATTTAGCAGCTCCAAAATGGCAGACAAGCATGACCGAGACCCCATAGAGACTGGCGCCTTCAGTGTTCGTGTTAGCACCTTCGGTGCTGCAAGAGTCTCCCTATTTTCCTTCAAAAGGGGTTGGAATCTCTGTTGAAGCTAAGATTTACTCACACAGTTGGCTCCCTTCAAGGGGTAGTAACTGTTATTAGTAACTTGCAACAGACTCGAAAGTTTGTCACTCCAAATTAAAGTAACAGGGCACATTACTTTCATGATCCTAGAAATTAAAGTGTTAATTAGTTATTAAGAACTGGTGTTATAATCATGTTACCTCCTTAGAGGCGTGGTTATGGAAGTCTGTTATTAACTGCAATGGAGCAGGAGCTTAGGCTCAAAAGGCTGAGACCAGTTAGAGTTGAGAGTGCTTTGAAAGCAGTGGAATTCTTTAAAGCTCAAGGCTACAGTCAAGTAGGGGAACCAATAGACTGTGTCTTTTCTGGTTCTGCCTTGTTTAAAACTTTACAAACAATGGAGAAATTCCCAAGAACTTAATTATCACAAGAAGAGTCTGTGTCCTTCCTGGGCTGGCCTGTTGTATGTACAGAAGATGTAGCTGGTCTCACGCCTGTAACTTAACATCCCAAGACAAGTCATCAGTCATGTTCATGAGATATGGACATGGAATTTTGTCTGCTTAAGTTTGAAAATTCAGTTAACTTCTTTAGGGGCTGATTTATGGGGAATGGATTGGGTGGCTAGCCACCCCCGTTTTGGAGGACCAAAAATAATAATTAAGTAAAATTGAAAAAGACTGAGAATTTTATAGCAGAAATAAAGACAAACACCTCAGACAGGTACCTCATTGTATTTCTACTTTGTGACATTACTAGTACTTCTGGTGTTTACATTCCAGTTCTTAAATTGCAACATTTTGGGGACATGCTCCATTGATTCTACAACATCCTGAAAAATCTTGGATCTGCTCCTGTTCTTTCCTGAAGGCATGTTGGTATGACATGTGCCATTCAAGTGTACTTAACTGCTGCTCGTAACAGAAAGTATATACAGTCAAACCCCTATTAAGGTGGCCCAAAGCAGTTTCTAAGCACTCTATATCAGTTGATGCTGCAATCGTGGTTATGAATCAAAAAACTGTCCAATCTTTGGTGAACATGTTGGTGTCAATTCTGTAGCACAAGAAGTTACCAACAGTATGACCTGCTTAAGAACCCCCTTAATTTTAGCTTTAAGTGCTAGTAACTCAACAAGCTTGGTGACCCCATTTTTTTATTATCGAATTGAGTTAAGCATGATAAGATGTAACTTTTTACATAGGTTAAAAATTCTGTGGAGGGTTCAGAGCCATCTTAAATTTTAGAGAATTAAATGTCAATTTATTTTTTTACAAAGATGTCTCAGGGCATGTGACTTCTGTAGTTCATAATTAAGATTACGTATCACTGTTTTCCTGATTCACTTGTCACAAAAATACTATTATCCTTTAAAAATCACATGCTTTACACTGAAGTTATTTTTTTTTCCATCAGGTTAATTGCTTAGTGAACCTGGAATCACGTCAGAACAATCATAATAATTGCATGTTTGGATATTTTTATCAGTTGTCACTTACAATTTCAGACTCTTTTCTGTCATTACTTTTTAACACAGATAAAGACAACAAAAACCCTCATCTGGATGACCAAAAGGTGGCCATGGCCACTTATTAGAGGTGGCCAGGCAATAGAGGTTTTATTGACAGTATTTTACTGACAATAATTTCGTGACTTTGATACCTGGCCGCCTAATAGGACTTCAACTGTACTATGATCCTGTCTCATATGGTGCCAGGCTCCACACCTGAGTGTACAAATTGACATTTAATTTTTTAAGCTACTTTATTACTTTTCACTAACTTGACAATGATATGACAATATCTAAAGGTGGTGCATTTTTAATGTTTTATTCTTAAATATTTTTACATTAATCTTAATAAATAGCAGGTCTAAGAAAAGAACTTCAACTGTAAAGTTGAATTTGTTTACAGAGGTTTTCCCAAGAGTTGCAAGTGAAGGGGAATTTATTTTGGTTCTATCAAAATTGAATAACCAGGAGATTAACAAATCACCACTACTACCAACATCCACAATGTTGGGGAATTCCAAAATTCTTAGACTTTCAGTTTCATCTTTTTACAGTATGTCTCAGTTTGGAAATTCCTAACATGTTTTTTGCATGTTGGATAACAAATCACTTTTAGTCGTAACTTTAAGAGTTGACGAGAGAGTCGAGGAATATTTGTCTGTTTATTGAAATAGAAATCTATTAACATATTGGGAATAATTCTATTAGCTTCAATTAATCTCTGCTGTGATTCAGAAAGTTCAATTAGGTTAAACTGCAAACACCTCTGAAACTAGTCTCCTTTCATGGTTGCTCAGGAGAATCAATGCTGACAATGCCTGGAAATTATAGTTTTCGAAGGCAGGTTAATGTTTTTCACAAGGGAATAAAATCGTCATAGATTTACCTCCAAACAGGTGGCCTAGGAAAAAAGAAACAGATTCTGACTGAATTCAAGTCCAAGGCCCAGCTTTGCAAGTCTATCATTGAGTTGGGGTAATCTANGAGAGAGTCGAGGAATATTTGTCTGTTTATTGAAATAGAAATCTATTAACATATTGGGAATAATTCTATTAGCTTCAATTAATCTCTGCTGTGATTCAGAAAGTTCAATTAGGTTAAACTACAAACACCTCTGAAACTACAGTCTCCTTTCTTGGTTGCTCAGGAGAATCAATGTAGACAATGCCTGGAAATTACAGTTTTCAAAGGCAGGTTAATGTTTTTCACAAGGGAATAAAATCTTCATAGATTTACCTCCAAACAGGTGGCCTAGGAAAAAAAAAAACAGATTCTGACTGAATTCAAGTCCAAGGCCCAGCTTTGCAAGTCTATCATTGAGTTGGGGTAATCTATCATTGAGTTGTTAAGCCATTGGGAACTAGGCAATTCCAAGTTGCTTTTTATACGTGAGAAGTGATATATATACCATGATGAATATATGGAATCAATCAAATAAATTTTGTAGTTAATTTTGATTTCAACTATATGTGGTTTGTTTTTTAAACTTACTTGACAAGTTTCTTTTTCTCTCAGTTTATCTGTAGTCAATAATAATTACTGAATAGGGATAAACTGGAAAAAAGTTAACTAACCTGAAGAAAATGAACCACATATAGTCAAATAAACAATTAAGTGAGATACAAATTAACTACAACATATATATAATCAAAATGCAGTGAAAAGAAAAAAGCAGATCAAGATCTATGCAGGACATTTTACACAGAAGCAGTGGAAGAAGGCCCAATTATTTTCAGGTTTTCTTTCATCCCCTGCAGTTTAGGGACTTATTGCTGTAATCATATACTTGTCATCTCAATAATTATTAAGTGTTTGGCAAGTGAAATGCATTTAAAGGTGGAACTGCTTTGGAAAATGGGGCCACGGTAATAACAAGGAAAGCTTAAAAAAAACTGTTGAAAGGTCAACCTTTTTCCTCATTCTGAAAGGAAACATAATTTCATCACAAACAAATAATCAGAAATCTGCTCTTTATTCTACTCTCCAACTACCTTCCCTGTCATGTAAACATTTTAAAATGTTTACACTAAGTACATATGTATACATAATGTACATCAGTGAACTATTATGTTTTTATTATTAGTTCTACCACTTAAGGCTGGTTTTCACTAGCAACGGGGTCGGAGTCGGAGTCAATGTAGTGACAATCAAAAATCAGAGTTGTAAGCGGAGTCAAAAGATCGACGGAATCGAGTCAGAAAAATCGGAACGTTTCCATTTCTTCCGATCCAGTGAAAACTACATTGTCGGAGTCAGAAGCAGAAACGGAAGAACTAACCAATCTCAAGGCCCGGAAATGAACATTGTGATAGGTTTATTCTTCTGCTTCTACTTGCGACTCTGACAATCTATTTTTCACTGGATTGTAAGCAACGGAGTCGTAGGCGGATGCAGTGTTCTGCTTGACTCCATCAGTTTGATTTTCACTAGATCGTATCACTCTACAGTTCTGATTACCACTCCAACTATGACTCTGTCATTAGTGAAAACCAGCCTTTACTCTTCATTAAAATGGGAGGTATTTATAAGTGAGAGTTTTTAATGAGCCCATCTGGTATTTTTTCAGTGTAATAAGCATTAGATATAATGGCGAGATATAAGGTTGTGAGAAATAATGATTAAGGTAATTTCCCAGTATTTCATTGCGCATCCTTACTGTGCATAATTTATGGCATCATTAGTGCACGTTCATGCACATGCACATTGAAAACATGGTGGATTTGCCTTGATATTGAGTTCTGTCAGTTTAAAAATGGCTATAGCTCACTAATGAGCTCGGGCACCCCAAATTTTTTTCCAGTCATTTTAATCAACTAATCATTAGCTTTGCGCGAGAAAAGACTGATC